TCAGTTTTGCAAATATTGCAAACTGAGATATGGGCGATTTTGTTCATTTTTTGCAGTTATTTGAACACAGAATCCACAGTTAGTTAGATACTGAGCTGATAATCATAGAGAATGTGTAGTATAGGCTTACCTTCCATATAAAGTAAGTTTCATTCAAAAATATTGATATTTGACTAATTTATGGGCCAAAATCGATCGATCAAATTTAGTGAGTATGCCCAAATATGGGCATATAGTTTTTAGCTCATAACTCAGTCATTTTTTGTCCAATCTTGATGAAACTTCATATACGAGTTCAGGGGACCACTAGCTACAAGTAGAGCACCTAAAATCTGGGTTTTGGGCATGTTCAGGGTATTTGGCTAAATTGGGCCTGATTTGGACCAAATATGGGCGTGGCTGCCCCGCGGGCACCGTTTGGCGGTTGGGGTCCGGGACCCCCTCAAAAGTTTGGTCACTGGTCCTAGTTTGTTGGTCAACTGCTATCTCGAAACCAAGTTTCACAAAAAAATCAGGGTGAACCCCCCCCCCTTAATGAGTCTCAATACTTTTTTTCCGTACTATAATCATGTCATGCACATGAAATGTCTTATATAAGGGGGGGGGGGGGCCGGGGGGGTTCACCCTGATTTTTTTTGTGAAACTTGGTTTCGAGATAGTAGTTGATCAACAAACTAAGACCGGTGACCGAACTTTTGAGGGGGTCCCAGACCCCAACCGCCAAACGGTGCCCGCGGGGCACACAGCAAACCCTACCAGCTGGGGTATATCTCCAAAAGTAAAATAAATAGAACCTTCCGGTTTTCAACAAAATTTCCGTCTCGTGAATTTACAGTTGGCTCCCCAGGAGCCAAATTTGGGACAACGTAGATTCTGAATTAAACCGAAAAGTTTGATTTTGGGCTAAATAAAAGATCACAGCTTTTAAACTTTGCAAAGAAATGTCGTTGTCCATTGTCATGACTACTAAGCTAAATGCAGCGTGCGAAAAGTAAACTTGACGTGACGCGCGACGACAAACGTGCTGTTGAAAATCTATCACCTCTAGCAAGCCCAGCAGGCGGTAAGGTTTTCTGGGCAGCCACGCCCATATTTGAATAGAACTCAATAGGGTTTCAATATTTTTACATGAAATTTTCAGAATTAACGTAGAATCGCATTTCGACTTTAAGTTTTGTATTGGAATTTTGAGTTAGGCCTTTAAAAAATTTGAGCGAAATCAGTTTTGCAAATATTGCAAACTGAGATATGGGCGATTTTGTTCATTTTTTGCAGTTATTTGAACACAGAATCCACAGTTAGTTAGATACTGAGCTGATAATCATAGAGAATGTGTAGTATAGCCTTACCTTCCATATAAAGTGAGTTTCATTGAAAAATATTGATATTTGACCAATTTATGGGTCAAAATCGATCAAATTTGGTGCGTATGCCCAAATATGGTCATATAGTTTTTGGCTCATAACTCAGTCATTTTTTGTCCAATCTTGATGAAAATTCATATACGAGTTCAAGGCACCACTAGCTACAAGTAAAGCACCTCAATTCGGGTTTTTGGGCATGTTCAGGGTATTTAGCTAAATTGGGCCTAATTTGGACCAAATATGGGCGTGGCTGCCCCGCGGGCACCGTTTGGCGGTTGGGGTCTGGGACCCCCTCAAAAGTTCGGTCACTGGTCCTAGTTTGTTGGTCAACTGCTATCTCGAAACCAAGTTTCACAAAAAAATCAGGGTGAACCCCCCCCCCCCCCCCTAATCTGAACCATAAAAGAACTGAACTAGACTGGATGATGGAACCGGCACGATATGAGTGACAGCTTGATTGTCGAGAACTTGGTAGATCTGGCATTTTAGCTAGTATTAGTAATAGTATAAGTAGTAGTACATGCAGTGAGTGACACTTGAGTGATCTCACATTCGCGTTATACATTTTGCTAATACATTTGTATCCATTATATCAAAACTTAAACTAAAAGCACTTTCACGATTAATCACTTTTAGTTTTATTTTTATATTATTATTAGAGAACGTACCTGAAACTAAATCAAATAGGATTACTTCTTCATATATCCATATACATTTAGAATTTGTTTCTCGTATCTTATTGACTTATAGGCATGACTTCCTTTTTGCTTTTGACAAAGTACTTTGGATTTAACATGCACGCAGACATGACGAAACATACTGTGACACGACAAAGTAATGTAAATTGAGTGCGTCAATCCACAGTCGCTGATATGATGGCATGATGCATCATCATCATGATCAACGTTAAAACTTTAAATGCATTTCAAGGTATATTTGATAATTGCTTCTGCAAACCCTAATATCTTTGATCTTTAGAGCAGCTATATACGATGGAAGAAAAGCTGTGAAGTTGTCTGTCTAATGGATTTGTCGACCTCTAGATCTCCCTCCTTTCTTAAACGCAACGCTTCCGTTCACCCCATGTCTCAGCAAAATCAGGTGCTTTTTCCATATGCCTTGATCTATAAAGCTATAAATAGATTAAATAACTGACGCAAAATTACGTGACGATTGGCAAGCTTGTTTTTATTTGTTTTAATTTTATGGTGATCGCCGATAGTGTACATATAATTACTCATATGATTTGGTTCATGTTTTGTTTAAAACTTCATCTCGATCTTCAATTTTTAGATATATGTACCATGCCATTTGAAAGTATAAACTGGAATAAAAAGCAACTTATATCAATTGTAAGTTTGTTAAAAACCGATCGTAGCTAAAAAGTAAAAACGAGACATTGCTGGTGACATAAAATATGGTGATGATTATAATTAAACCCTGATGAGTCATCAGTGATTTGATTCATCATCATATTCATATTTAATTTTGCAATGTAAAATGGCAAAACCGTTGTGTCGAACTTTTTACTTCATTGATGCCTTTTAAAATTAATTTAGCAACATGCCACAAATATTTTTACAAGGATCTAATTTAGTTTTTGTTTGAATTACGGCTTACCCGGATCAAATTCAATCCCAATTAAAATACACTATCATTATAAATTTACCATCAATACCAGGCAAACCCGCAAACGTCATAAAATGTTTTTTTTAAAATAATAGATTTAAAAAACGAAAATGCCAACTTGCAACTGTTTGAGAGAACTTTCTTTGTCTCCAGGTGGTGACTCACGTTCCTCCGCGTGCAATCGAGATATTCCCACTAAAAAGTGTGGACTCTACGTCCTGCGTGGTAAAGAGGAATAATGGGGATGAGTACGACTCTGAACACCTGAACTCTCAGTCACGTGGTGTGGATAAGGGGAAACCTTGCTGGGCCATCATCAAGGGGTAAGTCTTTTAATTATAATCGTATTATAAATATTCAAATTTCTGCATTTTCACGGTGTCATTAACTTTTACGGGTTTTTCATTACCTGCCAAAGCTTGACTATAATCATATTGACACGTGACAGTAATTTAAAGATAATCAAAATAAACTCGTTTTTGTGGATGCCCAACCACACCCGCAGTTTTATTAGGGAAAACAGTCTGGGAGCGAGGGTGGCACGCTTCATCAGTAGTGAAGTGGAACTCAACTGGGACTACCACACTGTTCAAGTCGGTCAGTCTACAATCTTATAATTTGCTTTGACTTTATTTTGTGAGGTGATCTGGTAAACAGTGTAATTACATCTGGTTCGACATCAAAACACTTGTTGTGGTTCCATTGATAATTTCAGTGATTCCGTTCAGCCACGATAACAATTCAACTTTTCAGATTGCATGCCGTTAGGACTAGAGGAATGGGATGAGGAGTATCAGGAAGTATGGGCAGATATTCGTAACACCAACCCCACTGCTTACTCTATCACTCTGCCATCTCCAAAAACCAGGGAGAAACGTCTCATCGAGGCAATGGTTAGTTCCCTTCTGTTTTAGCAGGTTGGTTACGCTAATTTAATACCCTTCCCAACCTTAACAGCTTTATATTTGTATACCTTAGACCTTAACTCAAACATATAAATCTAAAATGTAGCGACGGGGAAAATGGAACCTGAACTTAAATTGTATATACCACAGAAGCTGATAGACGAATCACAAGGACTAATCCTAGTGACCGGAGAGTACAACTTGTCGCTCCCCAACACAGTCAGGACTCTGTTTGAGTCTCTACCTCGCTCTGTCTACCTTGGTAAACCCTGTGCGGTTGTGTGCTACTCTCCTGGTATTAGTGCGGGAAAGAGGGCTGGAGCACAGGCTAGAGCCTTCCTAGGAGACATTTCCTGTCTCACTATCGGCTCCATTCTCGCTCTACCACAGGTAAATGCAATCTGAGACATTGTTCCCCAGTTCTATCAACCAGAACAAAATAAACTTAGGAGTCGTTTATATATTGCGTAATCACTTTTTATGACAAAATGTTAAACCCTAAACCCTGCAGGTGCATCTGAATATCAACAGTGAGGGTGAATGTGAGAAACAAGAAACATTACAACAATTGAAGGGTCTCCTTCACAACCTATCTTGGTACACGAGCGCTCTCTCCTCTTATCGGACCCAAAACCCACCCAACCTCTCCTTGTGTAACTCTCTCCCATGAAAGTACGACCTGTCAGAATAACTTAACACGTGGTGCGACGTCTCAACACGTGGTGCGAATTTTCAACACGTGGTGCGACGTCTCAACACGTGATGCGACGTCTCAACACGTGGTGCGACGTCTCAACACGTGGTGCGACGTCTCAACACGTGGTGCGACGTCTCAACACGTGGTGCGACGTCTCAACACGTGGTGCGACGTCTCAACACGTGGTGCGACGTCTCAACACGTGGTGCGACGTCTCAACACGTGGTGCGACGTCTCAACACGTGGTGCGACGTCTCAACACGTGGTCGAACGTCATGACTTTACTGTTGGTAACATTTTTCATATTCCTTATTTTATACCCCATGGGATATTTGTTCTTTTGTTCAATCGATTTAAAATGTTATCTTATTAATATTATGTCTTTAGCAATTATACACTCGGATTGAATCATTAAATTTAATCATCGAACAAACATTTCAATTAATACAATTAATGATCAAATATTTCTTATTTCAATGAAGCCGAATATCGGTTATTAAGCTTTAACTTAATAGCAATTAGCAATCAATAACATAATTATAGTCTCAGTACGTCAATGAATTCAATCTGTTTCCAATGACTAGAGTTAAAGGGCGAAGCTCGTGTTTATAACTTATTTGCATCGTGTTTATACGCTGTTGCCAGTGTTTATAAGCTGTTTCTGTTAGATCGTGTAGTTTTCTCAGCTGTACTTCTGTCAAATATTCTCACACTGAAAAAAACCGTGTCTCATCGTCTTATCAATCTCCATTCTTCAAACTGAGAATCTCATATCCCTCGATAACTCATCAACTCCAAGAGTTCAAGGAAGCTTTCAGTTCTTCAATGCCGTTCTCTTCTTCATTCCTCATTCAGAATGCCATGGCAACTAGGCGGGGCACCAAGGTCAGGGTTAGATTTGTTTAGCGCCGCCCAGAGGTCAAGAACCTCCTCCAAAACATCTGACAGATCGTCAGGAGAGTCGGCTGGTGTTGTTACCAAGGTAACGTTGTGAAGAGGATGAGAGGAGGATACTGGAGGTTGTTTAGAGGAGGGGAGGTCCCAATGCACTCTGAAATAAACTGGGGTTAGTTTAACTAAAAACGATAATTCATGATTGATGGCTGATCATCAGTGGCAAACTGATTCTGCCAATTCGAGAAAGTTATTTTACTTTTTAAGTTATATTCGGATTTTACCTGGTGTTTTGGTCAGCGGGATAAAGGGAACTGATAGCTTGTAACGTCTGTGTCACCAGGTCTGAAGTGTAACTTGACTGTTCTGTCTTCTTCTCCGTAATGGACGTTGGTCCGGGGCAGGGGTTCGGGGTTTTCAATAGTTTACGTACAGGTTTGTGTAACGCCTTCTGTTGTACTGATCTGAAAATTAGGTTTTAAGGTCAGCATCTTATTTCATCAAGCGGCCACAAAATGATATTCCATTATCAAACTTGTGACGTCACGACTAGTGCTAACTCAGTAACTCTCATATTTGAACTACAAACCACTTAATCGCATTCTTTTGATTGGTCAACACTCAACAGAAAATGATAAAATGATCCCAAAACTTACCTGTGATAGGGCAGGGGCTTGTAGGGACAGTATCTTACTACTAGGGGCTTGCTTTCCTTCATCCTGAACTAAAGATTATTTTCTTTATAGTGGTGTACTACATTCAAGGCAAAGCCAATCTGAATTCTGACTTTGGGTTAAGTTTTAATAATATTATTATACAAAATGTGGTTTGCAAAGATTGGTCTAAACATAACCGAGCAAATTAACTAAAATGAAACCGATGGAAATGTAAGCTTAACGAAAGGAAATCAGAAAAGGAAAAGTAACGCCAAATCATCGGCCTAATTAGTAAAATGTTGCAACAGGGTAGCTCTTGACACGACAAAGCACTGAACAACACTTCAACATTGTTGGTAAGAACTAAGCACTGGACAATGAGGCAGATACATTCTTACAGAGCAAGTTATCCACTAATTTACCGACCAGCGCCCTCTTTAGATTGACATGAATTCGGGGATCATAAAACAGTCGGCCTGTACTCTACCTGGCACGTGGCAGCAAAATGGCTGGCACATGCCTTATAGGCAGCAAAGTGTGTGGCGTTTATTGTAAATGGAGTCTGGGTGGCTCGCCAGAGATAGTATCAAATTGTTCGAAAGTCAATCAAAATTTCACGTGTCTTGATAATTCTCCACCATTTTTGAATCAAACTTTCTATGGTTAAAGACTTAAAGAGCCAAGCAAAAGGTCAGAAAGCCGTTATTTACAGGCAATCACACTTTAGAACAGATCCACAAAGGATGAAGGTGGTATAATTGGTATTTACAGGTGTAGCCGGTGGAATCCCTCTATTGTCAAGGTGATAGCGATAATTGAAATGACCCACACGTGCACAGTAGTTCGACTCCAGCAGGGCAACTTCTTAGCTTCAATCGAGCCGCGATAGTTACTGACCTGCTCTATACTATATAAGTATCCATAGCAACCACGCAATAGATTCTAGGCGGAAAATTACTTGGAAATCGGCTCCACATGGGCCCAGATAATGGCTCGGGGAATTGTGGTGTTAGAGTAACAATCTGGAAATCTATAGCTTTTTTCGGTATTGGGAAACCTGAAATGGGGGTTTATATTTCTATTTCTGAATCACAGTGCTCGTCATTATCTGATTAAGAACACTTTGGAAGAAAACGGTACATTAGGCAACAAAACAAATAAATCTTTTTTGGATTCAGCGAATGACCTGCTGGGCTAGAGAAATATTTAAGATCGAGGATTGGCTAACAAAAAAATCGATTACAAATCGTGGGTATTATATTTAAAAACGATAAAATGGGGCATGGTTGGAAAGGTTTACGACTGCTTAGGTCTCGTCATAGTCGGTATATAATCCTATGCTGTACTCCATTATTTCTGACAACTCTTATATCTCAATAAAAATGCTAGGCCAAAAGTTACCAAAGAAACCAATAATTCCCAAAAAAGGGCCACAGTTAACAACCACAAAACACCACCCTCATCTCCACGCTGATCCGGTGACAAGTCTAAGTAACTGACAGTGAACACATAGAAAACCTAGCACCACCACACCACCTAACAGCCCCGTGTGAAATACATCCTCTACACAGTACACACCCCTCTAGCTAGGTAGCAACTCTAATGGTTCACTTCGGCGCCTTCCTGTCAATTAATTTAAACGCGTTTAACATGGCAAGGCTAAATTAATGTGAATCTCGTTGAATTTAATAAAGGGGTCCAGGTAGGTGGTGGTAGACTGTTGAGCTGGTGACAGAGGTCGTGACACCTGATTCAGGATTGTTCCGGGCTAGTTTCAGGGAGAGAATTAGCAGGAGTGGTACAAAAGCTGCACAGTGCACAAGTTAAGAGGGCCAGGATAAGATCACATCTTCCAGCCCCATTGTCTCGAACTATTTAGTAGGTTTATCATGGTGGTTACTTGAGGTTAGGAACTGTTGCACAATCGCGTGGCAGCTGATTCACGTGAGATAAACGTATTTAAGAGGGTGGTGCACTGTGCTGTGCAGGTTAATAAAACTTGTGCCCAAAACTTGTTTGAAATCAGGTGTGCAGGGTGATCTATTCAAATTTTTTGAAAAGTGGAACAATTGTTGAGGCAGTAAGTGTTGAGGTAATACATTTACTATAAAGAATGGTTATGTGCCACAAAATCAGTCAAAATGTGGTTCCGTGTATGGATCTAGAAAGAAGCAAATGGAAACAATTTGAAGAGGACAATTAAAAAAACTGTACTCTTGAAGTTATGAGAGTGGCCCTTGAATTTGTACACTAAAATGTGCGGTGGCATGAAGAGTGGCTCAAAATAGCAAAGCGTAGAAACAATCTCTATTAATAATGTCCCAAGCAATATAAGCAGCACAATATCTATCAACGAAAGAGCAGTTTATCATCAGGTGATGCTGGACAGTAGAGTTTGTTAGTAAGCAGAGCTAACCACTCCTTTATTATTCTACCTTTTGTCTTAAAGCTAAAAGAATTGTTAACGTTATAACGTTGGTGGATTCAGTTTCAAAGACACAGATTGACAGATCAGTTCTGTTTGGTATAAATACAGACAAAGCATGAAGTAAGAAACCTTAAACCATTTACCTAAACTGTGATTTACTGCTCAATTGTATGCCTTCACTGCTAAAGCCGAGACGACATGCCTCGCAAATGCTCAGTTTTTGACCAACTGAACTACAAACTGCTATCCAAAGCGTCTAGAAGCTCCAGAATGTCCCCCTGGTAACCGTAATGTAATTAACAACCACAGATAAAAGATCTCGTATTACAGAATTCAAAGAGATTCGGTAAATGCATAATGATTAATGAATAATGAAATATTTAACACTCGTTGACCAAGATTTATCACCCTCTCCAGAAATTATTGGATCAGTATTAGCACTTAGCAGGTATTTTACCACAAATGTTATATTGGGAACCAAATCTAACGAAACAGAACTTGCTGAAGATGGCATGCTCAGGATATCGGCCAAATTTATACAAACATGAATTGCAAGTAGGAAAGTAGCCTACGGAACGAGCAAGTCGCAAGAATCATTGAATTCGATCATCGATGATGAAATCGGGCACACTAAATTTAACTAAACGTCAAGTGTTCAAATCTGCCGAATATTGGTTGAACTAGATGCCAGTAAATTCATTTATGGCCATCATGTTCTGCCATTGTTCAATAGATTTAATCCGTGTGCTGTAACACTAACAGCACGAAATTGTTAACATTTGGACGATTATTTCACGTCACGGACCAAAGCTAGTGTGGCGGAATGGTGGAGCTCAGCCGTAATTGATCAATTAAAAACGCTAATTGGGATAAGTGGCGGAAGGGCGAGGTGAGGCTACCCGATCTGACTGGCAGCCTCGTCCCCTGCACCAATGCGGCCCATTATGTTAATGTAATGCCATTCAGGACTCCTATATTCGGTGGTGCCACTTTGAGCTCAAACTTCAGTGGTACGAGATCAGCATGAGTTATGCATGACTTACAAATGCTTTGCGAGTGGTACTGGTAGCATTTCCATTGTCACTTTGTCCATTTATATGATTCAATGAAATTTTCATTACCACCTGGCGCCTTTTAGATAAATTGGGATCCCAAATGTTACCAATTTTGGTTAACCGTTTATTCTGTTAAAGCAAATTGGTTTACCTGAGTTGGTAATGGCCAAGAAACAATAGTACGTGCGAGAATGGTCAACAAAGAAATATAAACAACAGTTGAGCCAGTACTGTGACTCTTGAGGAATAAGAGTGGGCCAGAGGGTCTAGCAGGGCCAGATCTGATTTCTTTTCACACCTTGGAGTGGATTCTAATGAAATACTAATCCCACGCGAATCTTGCTAGGGATCCTAATTGGGTTCCATAATTGGGTCCAGCCGTGCCCGCAGGGTTTTCAGTTCAGGAAACTTAAAACCAGTACCTCAACTTGGTAGTTCAACTTTGGTTTAACTCCCACGCAATCAGACGAATTTGTCAAAGTGACGTGTATTCCCACACATCGGGACACATTCAACAACACGTTTACAATTATTGTACAGGCTAAACTGGCCCTGGAGGACTGGAGGAGTCCAATAGTACAAGATGGTCCCCCAATAATGTGCCATTAAGACCTGAAGGGTGCAACGCTATTAACGATTAAGCAATTTAAAACAAAATGCAGTAATAACATTCCAAATAAATTAAATAAGATAATTTGGGATAGGTCTGGCGAGTTGATTCGACCACGTGGTCGGCCCAGCTGCCAGATTAACCTCTTCTAGTCGAATTAAACTGTCAAGAGCAAATTGGTTTTTGGCTAATGAGACAGCTCCATGCAACCTTAGTTTACTAGGTTTTACTAAGAAATATTTTAATAATTCGTATTATAGCATGATGATGTGGCCCTCACAGACTATCCTGTAACTAATAATATTAAAATGATTAGGCCAGCTGCCGGAGACCTATAATTAGCTCTCATTCGACTGAAATTAGGAACCATTGTGCCGAACAAATGGGATTTTGACAGAATAATTATGAAATAAGCCTAATTTCTGGAAAGTTTCAAGTAAAAAGTTGGTGGTGATTGTCATGATTAGGGTCCAATTTGGACTCCAGTTCCATAAATGCGGTGACACTTTCTAATCGGGTAAAACTAAAGCCAAAGGCACCCCGCACCAAAGCTAAAACATTAAGATATGTTTTGGTTTCACGATCATTTCTGCGATATAACCATCATATAATTAAAACTAAAATAGATCGTAAAAATAATCACTTTCATAGAAATGTTGGCATTGAACGTCACACTCATCCATGATATTGATACAAGCTGCGACACAGCAAAGTTACAAAGTGCCCTCCATATCAGACTGACAAACCGGAGCTAAAACGCCATTTAATAAAATGAGGAGGCCAATATGTTAAATTATGAAGATAATTACCCCCATTGTCCTCTATAATTCTAAATAACCACCTCGCGCGGCGAGATTACAAAGACCTGATTGTTTGGACACACCAGGCACTGCACTCCTAGACAATGAGGCTCCTCTGCCGGCTGCTTATTCAGCATAGCCAGAGCACTTGTTAAATTAGCGCCCAGTATTCATTAAGAGCGGGGAACCATGCTTTAAAAGCTAAGAATGAGGACACGCACTAGTCAGACTCTGTATAAACATCTGGTAATTCTAGACGCTAGAACAGCTGGGAGGAAACCATTGTGCTGAACATGGACTATACCTGGAGGATAGACCCTTGTGAGGAGCATGCACCATCACCATGGTGACCATCGAGCTGAGGACAAAAGCCCCGGGTCATCGGAGTAGACATGAAGCAGGTTATGGATACTCATTACTCAACTACTGTAAGTGTACCTACCTAAGTGTTACTGTTATAATCGGGGGACAGTTACATATTATTTAAGTCTAGACTTAGATCAGTGCAAAGAACGAGCCCTAATCAGTAATCAATGACTGCATGGTGAACAAAAAAGGTCGTCTGACCACAAAAAAGGAACAATTACAAATTAGTCGCCACAATTTAAATTTGGCGACCATTTTAGAACTGTTATGTAGCGATAATCAGTAATAAAAGTGATGTCGAGATGCTGAATATGATTAATTACCTGTTAGCACTTCACCAATTTATCACCAAGTTAGCAAGTAGCTGTTAAGATAAACAATGGCGAGGAGAGCAGTACTCAGGTAGTGCCATAAGGCACAAGTTTAGTTTTACCCTGCCTTAAACAAACACTGCTACATGTAGGGCACGTAAATAAGGCGTGAGATAGCCGGAAGTGTTTACAGTGTAGAGGAAGTAAGGGGCATCCTCTGATGATTGCACGTGCATTCTCTGATAATTTCACGTGCACAGGCGGCTGTAAGATCACGTGTGCGGAATTTTTATAACGGATAACCCAACTAGCAATTGTCATCACAAGGCCAGAACTCTATATTGATGCAGGGACAGACCACGGGGCATGACCCAATTCTTGCTACATATATACAAGTCATATAATCGCTATCAAGGGCATCAAGCCAATAAATCATCTTAGACACAATGCCGATAGAGTTCAAGGCTCTCACATTTGCCTTCAAGTTACAGTGAATGATAGACACCAATCATGAATAATAACAGGACTTAGCGAATGTGAAAGTTAAACATGTTAAATCCTGTATTCATGCTTTCGGTATTGGCAAATGTCAAAGGGATATTTTGAAACCTTGGCAGCGACACCACGCACCTTATTTACTATTCAGGGCACCCGAGTGCAGGCTGCACTCTGCAGCATGTTCAGCTTAACCGGTCGATCCTAGATCAGTATGGATCTTAGTCCGTATAACTATACAGGATGAGCCGGCACAGCTGAATTGACAGAGGATGAGCCGGTACAGCTGAATTGACAGAGGATGAGCCGGTACAGCTGAATTGACAGAGGATGAGCCGGTACAGCTGAACTGACGCAGGATGAGCCGGTTCAGCTGAACTGACGCAGGATGAGCCGGTACAGCTGAACTGACGCAGGATGAGCCGGTACAGCTGAACTGACGCATGATCAGCCGGTACAGCAGCTGAACTGACGCAGGATGAGCCGGTACAGCTGAATCAGAATATTGACGCAGGAAAACAGGATTTCCCCGTGTAGCTGGTAGCTGGTGTAGCTGGTAGCTGGTGTAGCTGCCCGGTGAAGCTGGTAACATATAAAGATCAAGCTATAGACCCTGTAAATACCCAGTAAATACAGAACGCTGAGAGAGCACAAGCTGCTGCTAAGAACTAAGATAGTGTAACGAAAGCAAGCTTGCTTGCTTGCTGTACATCACCCTGCCAAGAGGGAGAGAGAGAGAGAGAGAGGGGCGAATCACAGAGCAATTAACAGATCCATGATAATTGATGCGGGGAGAGCTATTCAGTGAGGTAGATAAAGAGAGAGAGTTGTTAGGTGGCTGCATTGAGCGGGGCCGTTCTGCCTGAGTACACATCGCGTCGACCCTCTGTCAAAGTAAAAAGTGTCAGCTGTTACTTTGCCTTGTTTTTAGAGGTGACAATTAAGACCCATGCAGATAATGCACCTGAATTTAACGGCCCCCAAACTATCCATTGCCCAGTTTAAGGCCCCCGCCAATTCCACCAATATGCCATTACGAGCAGTGGCTACGTGAGAACTGGTCTAAATATCGATTATAGTGCCGGTGAGTAGTCATTACAGCAGCCTACTTGATGTGCTAAGTACAGTCGAGCCATTATACTACTGCACCACCGTGCCCCGCGATATTTCTCGAGACCTCGCTAAAAGCCATTTCAACACATCTGTTCTTTCGGGTATGGTATAATCTGTTCCATGGAGTGAGGTCTCATTCTTTTTGGGAGATCAGAGTTTTCGAACTCAGCTATAAGTGTAATAAGCATCTCAAGAAAAATGTTAACTCCGAAGATAGATCAATTTTAGATTACATTCAGGTTTATTGTTTAACTTTTATATGAGTCATCGACATTTTTACGAATTAAAATCAGCAATTCCCAATTAAAAGTTTGGTGATTTAAATTTGATAATTCATTAAATGTTTTATTCTATACATAATAACTTACAAGTCTCCCGAAAAAAAGGTTAAAACAAAACTACTGAAAAAAATATCAGAATCAGATAAAAAGACACTTCAATTCCAAAAAATCGAAGGAAAAAAACATAAAATGATTAAAGTAAATTCGCAATTCAGTGACTCAATCAAGACCTTAAAAAAATTGGTTATTACAATCAAAACTCCTTTTCTGATTCCGACTCAGATTCGGTATAAACGGGTTTATAGACAGGTTTCTTGGTAGCTTTTCCTTTCCCCTTTGTCTTTACCGGCACTGGCACATCAAGTTCGTCCTCCAATTCAAACTCATCCACAGTCTTCTTCTGAGGAACTATCTTTGTTTTCTTGGCTGTCTTTTTTAAATTCTTCTTCACTGGCGAAGCCTCGTTCTCTTTGTCAGATTCCCCGTCATTTAAAATCTGATCATAGACACTCTGTTTGGGTACAGGTGGTCCTGCTGGTGCCTTTACTTTCTTGGTAGCTTTAGGTTTGGCTGGTGGTGGTCCTGTTTCAGCATCGGGCATTGGTGCGGTTTTCTTCAGAGGAGGTTTGGTGAGGTCTGCTATTTTCTTCGCTGGTTTTTTAGCTTTCTTGACAACTTTACTGACGATCTTGGTTTTGGCAGGTCTCCCCTTTGCCTTGGGTTTTGTTTTCTCCGGAGAAGAAGCCTGACTGTCACTCTCAGATTCACTCTCAGATTCTTCTGTTACCGAGTCAGCTGGTTTAGGAGCTACTTTCTTCTTGGGAGCTGGTTTCTTAGTTGTTTTCTTAGCTGCTGGCTTTTTGGTTTCAACCTCAGCCTCACTATCAGTTTCTGTATCAGCGGGTTTGGCAGCGGGTTTCTTCTTAAGGGCTGGTTTCTTGGTAGTTTTCTTAGCTGTCGGCTTTTTAGTCTTAGTTGCAACAATTTCGTCACTCAGCTTGAATCTGCCTGAATACGAGGGAGAGGAATTGTATTATAGTGGTATGGTTTATCATAGTAAGAAGACATTAGAGTTACAATTTTAATTCTAGATGGTTAACAAATTATGTATGTGAGCAGGAGATTGTTGAAAGAAAATCTTTAAAAGTTTTACCATTAAGTCCATTTCCAGATGTATTGATGAGCGTTTTCTTATTTAACATTTTTTTAGCAGCCAACTTAATTGAATCTGAAAAATATAAATATAGCTTTAGCTTCAAATTCACAAATGTGTTAAAACCAATAAAACTTGTAAAATGATTGGCGGTTTTCCTCGGCAAACAGAAACCGCGAAATCGTCAATAAAAAAGATCGCTTACTCTTTGATCGAGATTCGTCAGGAAAATCATTTTGTTGCAAGATGAATTTAGTGACAGATTGAATTGTCGACCCTTTGTATCTCTTTTTACCTGCAGCGTGGGAATAAACTGATTACAACATGGTCTAGGACGTGCCGAAATATAATTTCATTACTTAGCTTAATTTTTAAAAGTTTTAATAGCAACGCATAGTTATTTAGTCTCATAGTCATACTTGTATTTCAATTCAATTCGAAATAATGAAAGTAAAATTAAAGAACTTAAAAATATTCGCATATTGTTAGACTTGCAGTAAGAGTCAGTATAAAAGTTAATTATTCAGAAAGGTCTATCGATCAGTGGCACAGCTGTTACAAATTGTTTTGGGATAATTCAACTGGATTAATTATCAAATTCAATTAATTTAAAGCTTACTTCCGACCAATGGTTCATTGAGCTGTTTTTCAATTTCTTTCAGTGCAATCACAGCGTCTTCAATCAGTTTTGGAAATGGTTTGGTCGACTTGGTTATCTTCTCTGCCGGCACATCATTGTTGTCCATCATCTATATCTATCTATGAATTGAATATTTATTATGTTTTAGTTTGTAGTTAAAACCTTAAAACGAAACTCGTTCCAGATTTCATCTGGATCGACCTAGGCAGGCAGTTAAAACCTTAGGTAACTAACTTAAACTATCATGGGATTTATTAGTTTTACATTAACCCATAATACTTAATAAATATTTCTGCATTCCACCTTAATCCCTTATTAATATATTCATAGGTTGGGGCAACAGCAGCAGCAGCAGCACAGTTATTGCATCACCTTTCCATGATTATTTTCACTTTATCCAACACACGTCACACACAGTACTTTAAAGATACAAATAACTGAATTAAGGCGAGGCTGTTAATGTTATCTTCAACTGACTCATGCAATACTGACCAACAAGATATGATGTAATGTTAATTGTGATATCTAAATTTAGAGCAGAGACCTATCCTGAATCTACAAGTACATTGACTTCGGGCGTAACTCTGATGAAACATGCGACTCAATGCTTTACTCAGAGTTGTGTGTCAGCATGGATAAACTTTGTTTTAACATTGTATTGTCAGCTTTCTTTCTACTCAACTGAAATATTCGCATTTCAGAGCTCAGTAAACTTGCATAATTATCGAGTTAATTTTCTTTTGTTGTTTTATTTGTCGGCCACTAGTTGCGGCTAGTGCTTTTTAAAAATGTTTCATTGCTAAAAATCTGTTTGATAAAATTGAAGTTCCGAAAAATCTCCAAATATTCGTCAAAAACGGTTTTAATATCTAACAAAACAACGCAACGAAACGGCTACAAGTGCAAGAGTATAAAAAGGTAGGTACAACATAACTTACACATGGTCGTTTAGAGATTATCTCAATTTAGATTAGATAACGCAAAACGCGATAGTGTAACAGAATATTTCATAGTCATACAATCAATTTGAACAACAAAAATGATGATCACCTTAATTCCGCGTTATTCCTAATGAGACAAAAACATTTCCCAGCAGGAAGAAGATTTTATCTCACCGTAATATCTCAATAAAATGACGTCATCAGTTGATCAGAAAGTCAGTATTCTATCTCTACTCCGTGCCTCAGCTATATTCGGTGCTATAGAGTTCGTGTACAGTGCTGAAACAGCATACTCTACCCCTCTCCTCGAGTCAGCTGGTATTGATGAGAAGTATACTGCCCTCACCTGGTCTATGAGTCCGGTTATAGGTACTGTTAGTGTTGTCATGGGTACTGTTTGTGTTGTCATGGGTACTGTTAGTGTTGTCATAGGTACTGTTAGTGTTGTCATGGGTACTGTTAGTGTTGTCATAGGTACTGTTAGTGTTGTCATAGGTACTGTTAGTGTTGTCATGGGTACTGTTTGTGTTGTCATGGGTACTGTTAGTGTTGTCATGGGTACTGTTAGTGTTGTCATGGGTACTGTTAGTGTTGTCATAGGTACTGTTAGCGTTGTCATGGGTACTGTTTGTGTTGTCATGGGTACTGTTTGTGTTGTCATGGGTACTGTTAGTGTTGTCATGGGTACTGTTAGTGTTGTCATAGGTACTGTTAGTGTTGTCATGGGTACTGTTTGTGTTGTCATGGGTACTGTTAATGTTGTCATGGGTACTGTTTGTGTTGTCATGGGTACTGTTGCTGCATCTTACTTGGCACAAAACACAGTTATAAAGTTTGTTTTGGACAGACGTTTACCTGAGACTCTTGTTTTGCAGGGTTCGTGTTGCAGCCGATAGTTGGTATTTTAAGTGACAGATGTATGTGCAGATGGGGGAGGAGGAAACCGTTCATCCTCATCCTTGCTCTCATCATCTTCACTGCTTCCTTCATTTTACCTCTAAGCAGGGACATTGGTAAGAAAGCAAGCATAATTTATATATATGATGCTGTATTTGAAGTGGTTCAAACTTAAAGGGAATTAAAGGGATTTGACATCTTTCAAGAATTTCATTTCTTAACTTATTCATTTCAGGAACCAATCTAGGTAACATTTTCAAGTTTAGCCCCACAGTGATCACAGGAGCAGTTACAGTAATCAGTGTCATCATGTTGGACTTCTGTAACGACTCCATTCACACCCCACTGCGAGCCTTCCTAGCTGACGCGTACCCTCGTACAGTGGAGGTACAGGAGCTGAGTAACACTCTCTACTCTATTGTGGGAGGGTTCGGGGGCATGTTCGGGTACATTCTCTGTTCTATTGACACGTCTTTTGTTGAGGAACCCATCTCGAGACTCACAGGTACATATCATATTGTCATCTACACCAATAAAAAGGGTTGAGTCCGCTCACTCAGATAATACAAAATTTAAGGACAAGTCTGAAGTCATGCAACATTACAATGCATTCTGGTTACTATAAATACATTTGCAGGGTCGAAAGAATACAACCAAGAGAAGGCAGTGTTTGGGGTGTGTATCGTGGTTCTAATCCTCGGCACCGTCATTACCCTCACCTCCCGCAAAGAAAGGAACCCTAACTTGGAGGGGAGCGAAGAGGAACCGCTCATCCAGAAACGTAGGGAGATACTGAAAATTAGTGATGATAACGAACCTGAGATGATCATTAAAGCTCATAGTTTACAAGGTAATGGTACATGATAACTCTGAGTTGTTGATGGAAGTTTGTGATTGATGTGATCATGATACTATATTACTCTAAGACTTCGAGTCAACGATTTGTTACCTTATAGCATTTGCAAATCGAGATTTCTGTATCTGAGCGAATTTTCTGATTTGCTTACTTCACTGTGGTCTGATTTACCCAACGTTGGCAATTTTTACCTAAATCACTTCAACACCACAACCATGACGATATTCCCTCAGAGGGAGACGAAAGTAGGATAAGTTTGAGAACTTTGGTACTGAGTATAGTGAAGATCCCAGGAAAGATAGCAGTGTTGATGATAATGCAGCTTTTGACGAGTTCTATCATGTTTTGCTACTTCCTGTACTTCACTACATTTGTTGCTAAAGTTGTTTACAACGCGAGCCCTGGAGATAAACATTTCACTGATGGTAAGGTTGCTTTTCTGTTTGTATGTTAAAAACGGGCTAGTATAGCTTCTTTGAGTTCGAACACTAAATTCGTTAAAATTTAAAATCCTTTGGTCACTCTAAATTTAATTAAGAGTTTACTTAAGAGTTTAAAACATTCAGCAGAGTTTGAGTATTTGTTGATAGATTTGCAATTTAATCAGGTATTTAATCATTATATGGGATGCATAATAATAATAATATCACACTTCTTTTGAAAGGATTCACCCGTACGTTTATAACTAATGGATTATATAACTAGTATTAAATCATTTTAATTCGAAAACTCTAGTGCGGTTTAAAAACTAAATCTGAATCTCACTAAAATTCAAATCATCAAGCGGACCGCGTTAAAAAAACTTTGAATTGACGATATATATTTTAATCCCCAGGTGTGAGATGGGGTTGTCTGGGGATGACCTTGATGTCTTTAACCTGCATCACCTTCAGTTTCCTGCTACCCACCTTCATCAAAAGGTTTGGAATTTAATCTTTCGTTTATCTTATCTTTAAACTCACGAATGTGGTTACAGTTCAGTTATAGGGCCTCAACTTCAAGTTCATAATTGTTCGAAATAATTTATATTGAAATGTGATAAGGTGCTATCTAGTGTTCATGTTTTTACGAACAATTAACTCGATGGGTTTGAAAAACATGACTGACCTATGACCTAACAATCTAAATTCCAAAAGTAAAGATCGTATGATTTAACAACCACCATGAGGCTTATAATTAAATTTAAATAACCTATGAGTCATAACAATAACATGACCTTATCCCCCAACGGTGCACTGGTACTAGCACTACCGTAATAACCGTACTATTCCACAGGACCTCAATCAAAGCGATCTACTTCATTAGCCACGTGGCAGCATGTGCCGGGTTCGCTCTAATGCCTTGGTTCGCCAACAAGACCACAGTCATCCTATTCAGCATATTTCCTGGAGTCCTGAACTCTGTCTACCTCGTCCTTCCCTTCATCTTACTTTCGCAGATCCACCAGATTCCTGCTATTAAAGCGGAGAGAGGCTATGCTACTGATGTGGCACTGTTGGTCAGCTCTACTTTTGCAAGTCAGGTGAGAGAAGTAGAACAATTAAATTTCCGTTCTGCTGTAGAAATAAAAAGAATATCTACTTTTGGATAAGGCTAATTATAGATGAAAGTTGTCAGAAAGTTGTTCAACTCTCTCGAAGTTCAAAAGATAATATACTAAAACCATATTCCAGGTACTACTGAACATGTTCCTGGGGACGGTGATAGAGATAACGGGTATAAACGTGGTAATGTACACAGCAAGTGTAATAGCGTGTGTGGGAGCCTTTGTCAGTCTCTACCTCCCTGTCATGCCTAAACCTTCCATTTACAAAACTGTGTCTGCTATCTCAATTGGTAAGTGTGCAAGGCTTTATTTTATTGTTCTAAACTAATACTGCATTTAGAGCATAGTGATTCTGATACTAGCTTCTAGCCATTTCCCTAAAACGTATGAGACTATAAAATCTTTGCTTTAATCCTTTATTTGCTCAGTTGGTTCCCTAAAAAGCGGAAGAGGAAACCTGCTAATGTCCTCCACCACCTTTAACGAAGATTGGGACGACATTGAGGACATGAGATCTGAACCAGTCCGGTCAGAACCTGCCAGATCACCCACTAAAGTGCGATTTTCAACAAGATCACTCCTGTAGCGTGAGGTAATAGAATGTAACGTGACGTCAAAGAACGTTATGTGACGTCACCGAACGTGACGTCATGATGTGGGCACTAGATAAGAGATTAAACTCGATCAAGATGTGAAACTGATGCAGCAAGGACCTATTAAGATGACACTTGAAAGGATCAGGGAAAGATAAATTGACTCTGCAGTGTAGAAAATCAACCTGTTTTTGAATTATGTGAACTCTATTTTTTTTTTTAATTTGACAATTTGGACAACGTCTCAATATTTGTATGAAATTCTTATTTTGCATTCAAATCACAAGAACATCGTACCATAATTTAAATCGTCGTAAAAGTTAACTTAGAATGAGAATTTACGTCACGGAAAATAGCGTATCATCTATTAAAAAGATGTCATTTTTATTTCGCATTCAAATTCCACAGAATTTTTAAATGTATTTACAAGAAGCATTACAATCTTGCTAGCCAACAACAACTTCATACTTTTTAACTTCCATTGATCCATTATTTGATTTCTAAAAGGGTTTTATACCTTCATATAACTAGTCCTAGAGGTACAAACAATCCTATATATAGTCATAACAGTCTTTATCTGATCAGAGGCTTCGATCAAAACCACTGATATTATCACAACATTGAATTGTTTTGTTGGAATCAGAGTTAGAATCACAGTTTAGTTGAAACATTCTTAACATTGTTCGTTATATTTTTCTGATACTCGGATTCTCAGTGGCCATCACAAGAATTCATAGTCAATACAGTGGAGTAATCACATCAACCCATTGATTTGTAGTACTTGAAATAGATCCAAGATCTTAAATCCTCAGAGTCCAGCATCTTGCATGATGAGATGATGAGGGAGAGAACGGCTAGAAAGACTTGCACTAGAACGACTTGTACTAGATAAGGACATTATTCCTGCGCCGTCCACAATCCTCTCCATATTGTCCTCATCCGATAGCTCCTCCCCAAGTTCATTCTCCAAATCCAGGAGTTGGGCCTCTATCTCCAAGTCCAAATCAGGGAAGATCGAATCAGTCATCTCTGATCTTACAGTTGCATCACTCTCGTTCTGCGAGGAGGGCTCCTGGAGAGCATCCTCCAGCCGCGGACAGGTCCAGGTTTCAGATTTCAGATCAGGATTAATCATGTCCAAAGAGTAACCAGAGGTGCTGGTGAGCATCTCAACGGGGTAGGGTGGAGTGGGAGGCCGGTCCAGCAGGTCTCTCTCAACTGGCTCAACTGATCTGGTCATTGTCTGGGATTTAGAGAATCTTCTCTCGTACCTTCTCTGGGCATCTGTCAATGGTTTTGTTAACCTCGGAGGTTCCACAACAACCGGGCCATCTTCAGGTGTGGTGACACGGGGCTTTCTTGAAGATATGAAGTTTGATTTTTTGTGATAAGGTTGAGATCGAAGGGAATTCCCCGCAAGGGCCATAACCAAGGGGTCATCAACAGTCCTACTCTCAACCATGGGTGTGGCCTTCTTTGGTAAGGTTTGATAACCCCTGGTAGGAGGGGACCTGGTCTCGGTGACGTCATCAAACAACATATCAAAAGTAGGAGATACTTTTCTTGGGCCTTCATTAGCCGATTTGCTCCGGGAGTGTGGAACACTTTTTGATCTGGAAGTTTGGCCGTTACTTATTTCATTTGGACTCAGGTTTTTACCAGAGTAGTAGCCTCCGTCACTGGACGGTGTTCTGAGAGTGCGATCGTCCGGAGAGAGTCTGGGACAGTCTTTGTGAACTTGAATCGTATGCTCAGATCTTAACTGTTTGGTTGCAGTATTTCTTTGTTGAGCGAACCTAGAAATCATTGAGTCTTTTGAGCGAGATTGTTTTATGTTGGGAACAATATGAACAGGGCTCGACCGTACGTTAGTCCTGGCAGGAGGTGCGGACTTTTGTCTTCCATATGAGGATCTTCCGTTAGTCCTCTGAGGAACAGTGTTAGATTCCATGTCAACCTGCTGCTCACATCTCAGCTGATCAAACAGGTTGGGTCTCTCAAACTCCATCTTCGGAACTGGACTGATCGGGTTTGAACAAGACGATGCAGTACTGCCAGTGCTCCCCTTTGAAGCAGATCTCTTGAGTGATAAGAACCGTTTAGAGGGTCTAGCCGGACAGGATATCATCATTGTATCAGAAGATTCAGACTCTGTGCTCTTCATTCGAGTCCTTGCTCTTGTTTGTTTCGATTGTTTGTCCCCACTGGGGAATCCTCTGTTCAACTTCCTCTTCTCAAAGTTCAGAGGTTGCTTCCTCCTCTGAGAATCAATACTCCTCCGATCAGAAGTAGATCTTGCGAACCTGCAGGGTCTAGTTCCGTCCTCCTCGTCTGAGGAGAAGAGTAGGTCTAAAAAGCTGCCTGTATCGCTCCAGCTGGTCAAGTCACCCGGACGTTTAGTGTTTGTTCTCTTCCTGCTCTGGTCTATTTTAACAGAGCTTTGTTCCCCAGCAGAGGACAGAGACCGCGTCCTTTGCTCCACTTCCGGCTTGTTTCTTCTTTTCGGTTGAAGAGTCCCGTATTTCCTATCGCCGTCCTCTTTATTGATCCCCTCAATCTTGGTGATGCAGTCCATTACGTTTTGGAGGTTGTGGCTTCGTTCTCTCTCCTCTTTTCTTAGTCTGAGAGCTTCGCGCCTCCGTTCTGATCGCTTCTCAAATTCCACCTGGGTAATTTATGGAATTACTGTCACTCAATTCGGATTGATCAAACGAATCAACTCCACTAAATCTAAATTTGAAATCGAATTCATTCTTAATCTTCAATGATAATTTGTTGAATAAATATCCCATGATCGATCAGGAGATTATGGGAAAAATAGGACTATCACAGGAATGAGAGAGAATAAGTTCCCCGTATGATACTGTTCTGCGAGACTGTTCTAAATTAGGGCGCCGAGAGGATATGTCAGGGCGGGAAGGGTGGTGAGGTGTAAGGGAGTTGATGTTGTGAACAGTGCAGGGTTGGATTATTTGTAGAATGAGTCTAATTGATCGGAAACTATTGTAACTAGGGGAGGAATGGGAAGTATTCGGATATATTGACTATTGAGTGAATGATTAATTTATACTGATAGTTTGGAGACGAGTTGACCACATGAAGATATGTGTAAGAGTGGGAATGTGTGTGGGACTGGGAATGTTTTCTTAGTCAGGATATTGGAATAAGAGGTGGAATAATAAAAAGTACCGTACCTTACACAGCCTCCTCAGTTCCTGAACTTCGTATGATTTCCCCCTGACCATGGCCCGCTGCACAATGAGAGGAGGAGATGTTGCTCGGAGCTTAAAACAGTGCACCGAGTGGAAGAACATCTTGTCAATCTCTATCGAGGTTGATTTGTGAATGATGGGTTGAGCGCAACCTTGGCAGATTCTGTTTTTTGACGTGTCCCAATCCTGAGAATTGTATAAATATCAGACGTTAAGCTTATGTAATTCAACAAAACTTGCCCATGATAGAAGTTTGATTTTCCAAGGAATAAAAGTACAAAATAACAAAATGGCAATGTATCACCATACTAAAGAAACTAAGAACCGCAAAAACACTAATCGGCCACCTATTATTCGTAATTACTCTAATATAATTTTAGTGGTATATCAGTATCACTCACCCTACAAAGTTTGGAGCAGACAGGGCCGGGGAAATGCTCCAGGTCCAAACAGAGCATGGTGCAGATCCTACAGGTCTTAGGACAGGACCGTCTGTGGACCATACCCTTGTCAGAGGGAGCCAGGACGTAGCCACACTTGTTACAGTACTGAACTCCGGGTCCGGACAGGTAGTAACATTCCAGGGAGCAGTAGGGTTTGTCTTCCTCCTGAGAGTGGAGGTTTACGTTACAGTGGGTGCAGATCAGTGGCGTAACGAAAGGCCCCGCTGACCCCGCTATGCGGGGGGGGGGGGGGGCATCTTAGGGGGGCGCCAAATCATCGTTTGAATGTGGGACATTTTTGAAAAACTTAACTGAGGTACTCTAGAAACACATTTTTTTAGAGATTTTTACGTAGTATCCTCTGAAATCACCTAATTTGTTTAATTATAGGGAGGGGCACCAAAAGGGGAGGGGCGCCAACAGGGGGGCGCTTTTTCGGCGGGGGGCGCCAACAGGCAACGTTGCGCCACTGGTACAGATTATTATTGTTTGGGTAATTTTGGAACATTCTACGGTTTATTGGCAAAGGTAGTGACTTAACACTTCCTGGCATAAGGTTAAACCTCAACCAGTAGAGATAAAACCTTAAATTTATCGGAATTTCTAGAAATAATTACGGATAACAACTGCGAGGAAAGTTCCCCAAATTTGTTGCAATCGGTGAAACGACATTAGGGGGCCGAAATCAGTTTAAAAACTGGTGTAATTATGTTGAGAGGAACATCCTAGCAAGACTTTGAAACACCCCGTACCTTGACGAAAAGGGAGAGACAAGGGAGCCCACACTTGGTACATGCAGGCCCACACTCCAGATGGTAAGGTCTGTTCTGGTGGTAGGACACCCCGTACATGTCACGACATATCACCCCGTTACAATCCTGACAGAACCTGTAATTGGGGGATCTTATCACCACGTGTTATAATATCGGGTAATTTAAATAGATTTTGTGGAAATCTCCAGTGATTTTCGAGCATGTTTGCTTGTATATATGGGATATAGAATCTTTGAAAAGCTGGATATATGTGATATCACGTGATTAATAATAGCGTTAAATCACATAAACTAAAAGTCAGCCCTCACCTGAAATGCCCCTCTTCATCCGGGTCACTGTACCCAAACAACCTCTCCTGGTCCCCTAACGGCCCCCTAAATATAAAGGGAGTCAGAGCTAGAGGTTGTCCTCTGTTCCTACCCCCCTGTCGGTTGAGATAGAGAGAGGGAATGTTGACCACTTCAGTCTCTTCTGGGTATAAAGCTCGTACAGTGCTTTCTATTGTCACCACGTGTGAGTCACCTGATAATTAATAAATAGACTAGTATCGGGCTGATTATTCAACAGGATTAACTGGATTTATTTGAGCAGTAACTCACTGTTAAAAGTTGGTCAGTTCTGCAGAGTTGTAACATTGTTACCGTTTACACGGAAACACTGTAAATTGTTTGGAGGGATAACAAGCTTATAATATAATAATGCCTTCGGCTCTTCGGGCTCCGCTTGATAATTCCCGACAGCTTGCTGGAGGGAATTTGCGGCCCGAAGAACCGGAGGTATTATGTATTATAATATTTTCCGGTTCCGAATTGGAAGGGGTGTAATCCGATACGTGCGCATCATACAATATAGTGTCTAATATATAGAACGCCAGTGTTATTTGTTTTACAACTTGCCGCCAGCCAGTCTGAGGTCTATGCTGATAATACCTTGGCTTCCCTTGCGGGATATATCGGCAAATTATCAGCTCTCGGTGTCCGAGACTTTTAGTGGATATAATTCCCGGAAGGTATTATAAATCACATACCGTTTAGTTCGACCTGCTGCCACACAGTACCCTCAGGAATGACAACATGGACTTTCGCTTTGCTGACATTCTTCATTGTAAACTTGACATGTTCAGACTTCTGGTGGGCAGTCAGTTTGACACGACCCCGTAGCACGTGGGCAAACAGCTGGCGGCTTTCTGGGATACAGTCTAATAGAATGTTAGGATAAAACCAAAGTGGAGGTGATTAATATAATTCTGGAATATTTGCGATTAGTTGACAGCTATGTTTGCTGAGAAGTGTGAAACTCAGTGACAATATAACCCTACCAGCGATGTTGACGGTTTGTAGTCCGAGTAGGAAGGGAGAGTAGATCCCAACACTCTTCGTCCGGAGACTCCGTGTATATGAGCTGGTCACCAGGAGGTTCAGATAACCTGGGGGGAGAACAGTGTGAATGTTAAGAGAGGTTGTTTTATACAGACCGAATAATATAATGAAATAAGTAATATATTTTAATATAAGTTAATACTATAAGTAAATCATGTAATAATATATGATTACGATAGAAAGATCATCATATCTTTGTCAACAGTATCACAGATTTATATCCCATTAATAATCCGATTATTTTGTTGGTCCCGATAATCAACAAATATAACCAATAATTAGGTTGTAAACTAATGACATTAAGAAACAATTCCAATTAGGTTAATAAAGCTTGCAGTTTGCAAGTGTACCCCTACAGATTATTGTTACGATATTTTGCCACAAATGGATTTCTTTAAAGATACACATTATGCCTTTCTCTTCTTAATATAATGACCCTAATCTTTCCTAGCAATACCCCATAAACACCCCAGAAGTTACTGTCTTTGCAACTGATGCATTTTTATAGATTTATAAATTAGATTTCAACAGATTGACACAATATCCCAACACGATATCTTAACAGGTAAAACAGTTCAATCTGATTTTCCGGGTCAAAAGAAAATCTTAACTTCCCACATTAATTATTAATCATTTCCATTTATCGTACCATTAAAAAATCAGGCCCTTCACACTTTGTTTCTGTCTGGTTCTAATATACCGTTACAATAATGAGTTGTATATTTCGATACAGTTGCTAGCAAAAGTGAAAACATACAAGAATCCTTCCTTTGATCAGACAAACTGCAATTCTTCCGGCTTTACAAAATTATTCATCTCAATCAAAACACTTTGTCACAATTTGTCACCCGTCTCACTGTACCCACCTAAACTAAGTTTACTAAGGTCCTTATGGGGCACCTCGCACCCTGATAGCGTATAGTTCTTTGTAGCTTGCTTCAGAAAGGAGTCCCTAGCTGCTACATCTGTCACCTGGGGGAGGAGGCGTGGTTTTAGTATGAGGTCACTGTTTTGGTGTCGCTGTAAAATGTAAAGTATCGATATATACAGTGAGACGGCACGAGGGTATGTCAAAGCTGTTATTGTTAAATTCTTCAATTTGTCGAAAGTAAAAGCCGGATTACTCCCACAAAAAACTGTTGGATATGATGAAAATAATCCAAAAGTTTTCCGAAAAGTTCCTGGAGGGGCTCAGTAGACAGGAAATTGATTTTGTGACTTATTTATTGAGTAATCAAGAACACTAAATCCGGGAAATTGTGCAGAGTAATCGTAACGAACCTCGTATTTCATTGATATTGAGACGTATACACACGCCTTCCGACACGACTCGTGCGACAGTACAATCCTTGAGTCGGCTCTCACCAACTTCTCGTCAACCTGTAACACAAAGAATTGAGCATTAGTTAAAAACGTAAGGTAGATCAGGAATTAAGATTAAATAGTTAGTGAAGGCAATCTCCGCATTCCTATTCTTTGTGTTGGTTATACCGACAAGATATGCTACAAAATGCTGCTGTAATGTCTACATACTGCTCTATTCTCTAACTCTAAGGTTTACATACCTCGATCACGTCGATGCTGGAGTAACTCTCATCCTGAGGCCGGGGTTCAGGTGACAGCACATCAGCAGATGTGATCTGGAGAGCAGCACCTGATCCTGCTTCCTCTCTACTCCCCTCTTCTTCACCCCCACTACCGTTACTGCTCGGTTCTATAAATCCTGTGTCGTGGTCACTGTGATCTGACTCCAGCACTGGAGTGTGCCGCTCTTGTCGCAAACTCTCTGGGTTTTAAACTGTTTCAGTATTTACCGGAATCCCAACAATGATGTTAATAAAGGAGTCCATATTATGTTTATTGGATCGGTGCTTTAGTGCTCTAAATAAATATGTTTTTAAGCACAATGATTAAGTTAATACTCAGTAAAAAATATTCTCACGGTTTAAAAATCTATAATAGGGAAGTAGGTAAGTATCCGAGGGTTATTTTACCGGTATGTTCGCAAACAGATCTGGTCCAATCTGTTATAATATCCTGTTTGGTGAGTGTGGATTCTCCAGTTATAATATCTTGTTTTGTCAAGGTAGAGGATCTGGTGTCTGACAAGATATTATCGTATTTACTCCGCAGAACTTCTAGTATCCCCACCACAACTTCACGCTTTCCCCTGAAGAAGAAACACAGTGAGATCACCCATTTAGAGGATTGTTAAAACCTCATTCGAATCTGTCTGGGGTAATTGTAGAATGTGGATGTCATCCTTCTTCGGCTCCATTGATAACACTAAGACTAGTGTTCCAGAACGGGAATTTTAATTTTTGAGTGAATTATTACAACCCCTTAAATAGGAATTTACAAAACCTTAAGTTAAAGAGTTTCGCTATGTTAGGTATAAAGTAATACCGCCCTTACATAATACTACATATAAACATAATACATAATTATAATGACGACACTTGCTAACTAAAGATAAAAAAGCAAAAGCTTTGATCAAACGGCCAGCGATTTTAAAATAATGACTTTGTAATTGTTATTTAATCATACCATCCTAGTAAGGTTGACAATGTCGTCATCATAACATTATAAAGATTTTCAGAGAAACACAAGAGGCCGATGACATAAGGTCCTATTTTTATTCGCCTCAAAATCTGCCACAACAAATTACATAAATTATGATGACGAATGATAAATACAACTTCTGATTTCCTTATAATATTTCGCTTCACATGTTCCATTTAGGACGGTTGTCGGTCGAGCTGATTCATGAAAAATAACATGATGTTCTTCGTTTGAATTAAATTTTTTAAATTGAAAGATTTTCCTGAAAATATTCCAAAAATGATCACAAAAACGAACCTAAAGATATCAAGAGGCTTGACATCAAGATGAGTGCCATCAGAAGCTAGACAAGCCAAAACACTCTTAATATTATCCAGAGAGTGAGACATGGTAGTGGGGGTGTCAGTAAACTTCCCCAGAGCCTCGGAGACTGCTGCCTCGTTGTCAGTGAGCAGCAGCACTGTCAGCTCCATTAGTACCGTCCCTGGGGGAGGAGGGGCAGGTCAAAGTCCTGTTCTTTTTGATATTTTTAAGAGAAGCCATTATAAAAGAGGAATTGTCCTGATACTGTACCATTTAGATATGAAAAGACAACTTCAACAAGTAAAACTTTGAATTTGGGGGAACCAGAAACTGAAAGAACCAGATCACCTTATTCATTAGGATGACTTACCATCGCAGAAGTCTTTAGCAATGTCATTAACAACCGCTGTTCTCAGTTTCGAGGCAACCCACTGTAGTAAGACAGTGGAGGAGTCCATATGACATTATCTTCTTTCTGATAAGAGAAGTGGTGTGAAGATAATGCAGTGGTGGCGTGAAGATAATGTAGCGAGCATCTTTTTATGGATTGGAATATACAAATAATGTTATTGAAGCTTATGGACCGAAAATATGCACAATCGTCAGTGGAAAACACGAAGCGTGACAAAGAAAACGTAATTTTAAACCAGCAATAATATAACGTCAGATCAACGTCAGATCAACGAATTGAACTGCTACACAGATATAATGATGGATCCCGATGGATCCCGACCAACCAGTCGAGTAAAACTGAATAATTCTAGAATTACATAATTTGCAAGAGTTAAATAGTTGGGTATCATGTCTGGCAGATTTGTTGACTTGAGGACAGTTCCACGTGATGCCAGACAAGCCCTCTTTACAATCCCCTATTGTCTGCCAGGCTGTTTAAGATACGTGAAGAATGTGGGTACACTGGAAGAGTGCCGGCACGGTAATTTTCAAATTATCAACGTTCTCGATAGTATAGATACAAAGGATAGAAAACTGAGTTGAACCTTATTATGGGGTTTAAAGCACTGATTTTATCACTGTAGGAAGCTTGAAACTTTTTTTATAGGGAAACAGGATATTCAGACAGGAAATCTGGGATTAGAGTTGATAAGGTGGAACCCGGCCTCTGAACAGGATCTCAAAACGGCAATTTAGGGATATCAATGAGGTACTTGGAGAGCATGAGATTTCACAACATCCAAACAAGGTTTGATTGTTTTGTTCAGAGAAACAGGTCCTGATATGTTATAATGAGATATCACGTGGAACTTTCAGATAGGCCCCTTATTATACCGACTGTCACACAGCACACCCAGTCTACAAATGCTTTCATTATTACGATACAACCTAGAGCTGCATTAGCCATTAAACCTTAAATATACTAATATACGAGGTAAACTTTGTGAATATAACGAAGCAACGCAGCTAACAATGGGTAACTAATGATAATGGATGGTAACACTCGCAATAATCGTAATAAAGGAGTTTCGTCATAATCCCTTATTACACTAATAGGATCAGTACATATAAATCATAATTGTAGCTGCATATTGCACAATGCACATGTATGCTGCTGATATGATCATATTCTTTCCTGTACGAACCTGTTTCTAGAAAACAGAACAAAAACAAGCTGAGGTTCCTGATTAAACTAATATTGACTACATAACATGAATGACAGAACGAGGAGGAGTGAGACTGGCAGGTGCTCTGTAAGAAGGAGACATGTATAAAAAGAGGGGCTGTACCATGGCAGTACAGTGCACCTCGCCCTCTAAAAACCAGGCCCATCACGCCAACCTTCCTCTCGGCCAATCAGCTGCCAGGATATTTCTAATGGTCCAATGGGGGATCAGCTTGTACTTCCTAAACGGTGTTTACTTTCACATTTATAGTTCACACGCAAGTGTAGTCTGCAGGAGGGTGAAGTGTGCTTGAAGTTGTCCATGTCATGTCGTAATTGTCATTACATGGCTTGTTGAAATGCCACTCCCACAATCGTGTGGATGGTGGAACCACGGAAAATGTCTCAACAAGAAAATTTATATTTCGTTCAAACCTACAATTACTGTTACTAACGAAGATGTAATAGCGGATAACTGAATATTTTTATCATTCAGGATGGTTATTTCTATGACATGCTAATAATTAAATCTATTTTAAGCCATGGGAATTTTGTTACTCTGATATTAATCACGAAGGTTTGCGTTATTCAGGGAAAAGCTAAACATATCTATTATATTTTCTAAAGAAAGCCACTGGTAATATTACTTGATTTTGAATATCCCAACAGGAAGTCAAAAGTCAAAACCCATACCCAAAAACAGTCAACTTTGTAAAATTCCAGCATCAAAAAGGTGAAACTGAACTGCAAGTACAAAGAACTGGAAAGTTATACGAGCACCGAGTACGGAACAGTAAGTTTCTCAAAAAGTCTGGTCTGATGCCAAATACCAGAAGGCTCCCTGGGGTGGTATCTGCGAGTAGGACACTATAATTCCACTCTAATGTGGCAGCAAACGGTGAGTTGACACACAAATAGATCGCGTTAAACGGATACTGTCACATTAGGGACGACTCCTTTAAGTGGCAGAGGTGAAAATGAAGGGAGGACATAAACTCGACTAATTAGATCTAGTGGTACCAAATGTCAAAAATTAAGCTTAAATTCGTAGACTCTTCAGTCTTCGCAGGGGGAGCTGTCACGAATGCAGCAAGTCCTGTACTAGATTAAATAGGTAGCAGATGCAACAACTTTATACAATTATACCGCATTATACAGAATGTATCCCACAAAATGGCAGAGAGAATTGGATATCACGTCACTCAGAGATACGATTTATTGATTTAGGGAGTAAAATGAAATAGGACGGATTTACTGTGGGTAGATCTCAGAAGTCACACAATCTCTTGACCTCACTTATCCTAAACTCATTACCAAGGACTGGGTTAATCCCGCATTGAATGATTATTAATACAGATAGGAGGGGAAATGTCCCACTTCACGGTGAAGATTAGAAGTTAGGGTTGAAATCAGGAGGAAATCGGCCTGAATAGAACACTTTAGACATGTATAAAGTTCCCACATTAAGGGACCAATGTTAAATGTTTAAAAATGGGCACGATGTGTCCGTGCGAAAAAAGGACTGTTCATGTTAGTGTCTGTAATCAGGAGCATAAGTTAATACTTTAAGAGCACAATATATTTACAGCAGCAAAACTGTTGCTCTTGGATTACAGAATTTGGTCAGAGCAGCGTTACATTGTTTATTCAAGTATGGGAAATACCTGAGATTTGTAAAATACTGCATGCATGACCTAAACTCAAGCGACTTTTATCCAGCTGCTTGGGAAGGGCCAGTTTTTATCTGACACAGAATTACGTGATACATTAACATAGTAACGGCATCATTATTTACACGATCCGTCATAAGGTAAAATCCAGATACTTGAAGATCCAGGAACTTACAGAAAATACCTGGCATATTATTAATTCCTGTAACTTTTTAAAAGTAATGTTTTAAAGACTCCGTACTTATAAAAGTTTGTTTAGATAACTTAATTAACATTATCACCGCGGTTTGATTAGATTAAAGAAAATAATTTAACACAACAGGACCTTCGTGGTTTGCACGCGCCTCTTGACGAAACATTTGACATGTAGGACAAGAATTTAAAACGTATAATGCTTTTGGACACGAAGGGAAACACACAACATAAGGAATTTAAAACGTAATTTAAAGTAGGCAAAGAATTTAAAACGTAATCCAAATCTCATGTCAAATTCTATGTTACAGGGCCCCTTAGTTCTAAACAAATTAGTTTAAATTGTCATACAAAGCCACATTTGTGGTGTTACGTAGTCTCTCTTCATTTAAACAGTTATGTTATTAAAGTTAATAACTTTTATAAATAGCAGAAGATGCAGCTAGAAGTTTTCAAGTACACCTCGTACGATTACTCGTCAACCGCAAGAACACGTGCAAACTTCAGAACAACACGTGCAAATTGCACAACAAAGGATTTTTAGTACTTAACCACACCTACCATCAACAGATAGTAAACATATGTAAATTGCATGAAATCTATAAGCTGATACGCATCGTTGCTTTTAAGAGTGACAAATAATCGGACAGCTATAAAGCTATAAGAAGTTCACGAAATTGTGACAAAGCAAAAAGCTGTAAACTACTAATTTTGCAACAAATACCTGTAATCAAGAGATGAAATAGGTCCATCATTGCAGGTGACCGCAGAAGCATTCGAATATAAATCAATTACCGACAATTTCCTTCCAATGTGACTATTTATCAACTATTTAACTTACAACGGAGTGGGACGCCCACTTTTTATCGTTAAACATCGACGAAAATTGTATTTGTGGTAGCAAAGTCTGCAGATCATTCCCAGATCATTGTTGAATGTGCCAGCTTCGTGCCAGGACCTCGGCTTGCTAATTTGAAACACAAGAACTTTGTAAATCTTAAAAATTAAACAATTTGAAGGTTGAGCCGTACACTACAGATGAACTAGTACAAATGAATTACTCTAGCTGGGTGGGCAATTCGGATAACACCATTTTACACCGCACGCATGGGAATGCCAAGTTCAGGAGGTGTATCTACACTAAATGTGTTCACAGAATCTTACGATGCAGAGATTAAACATAAAACGGGAAATGTGCCGCTAGTAAAAGCGGCGTAGGCATGGGGTCAATAAGTTAATAAGTGATAATATTTTATATTTTAGACTTAAAGGGGATAATACTGCGTTACTTTGGTGACAAACCCCATTCAGCTGAAGCAGACAAATTCACCATCACACTCGGGATATGAACTTTGAATCGGCTTAACGTAAAACAATATAATCAAGTTTGTGATTGGTATTTGGTGATGAAAATTGACGCGGCAGACAACGTATCAATTTATCAAAGTGCTACAAGAGATGAAGACTGATCGAATGTTGAGAAAAGGGTAGTAGTCATGGGATGGGAGGTAAAACTCAAATATTTATATTGCATTATTCTCGACTGTCCGGGTTTCAACCTCAAGTCCTCACATACAGTACTCCAACTTCTAGTAAAGTTTCTAAACTGTCCCAACTGCTCGGGACATAAGTCTTCAGAGTCACATACATAATCTGGAGGGCTGTAATTAACCACATCAAATGATCAAACGACTTTATTAAACCACAACGATTAAACTGCAACAGCATGATCAGTGATTCTGGTACAAAGGTTAAGACTTCAAGTTTAACAATGTTGTGATTTAAGGAGAAATTACATTAAATTACATTAAATTAAGACGGTATGACGGTAGGAATTTAGCTCTCTAACTTATACGGCACATGATGGCAAATCAGAGGCTTGGTTGGTTAGAAATGTCACGCAGTCACGCGTAGGACTGAACCAGCATGGCCTCCTTAAAAACTTGTTAATTTTTACACATTTTTCTAGTACATCACTGGGTTCAATGATTACTTTTTAATGGCCAATAAAAATTGTCCTGTTTTAGGTTGTGGAAATATTGGACAGAGACAAGCTAATTAAAATATAAAC